TTGAATTGATAATAAAAAGAAAACGTACAATATTCTTTGTACCTACATCACATAATTATATTGTTTTAACATTACAATAATACAATTTATAAACTGACATATAACTGCGATGCATATATCTGTGATATATCTGTGGTCGTAACCATTGTACGTATATTGTTTGTGGAGAGGAGTGACGGTATTATTAATTATAACTATTATTATGTATATAATGATTGAGATATCAAATTGCAATGCCTCAATTATATAACCAGAAAAGCGTTTGATAAAGTAGGTACAGTTTAATTGTATTATATGTGCATTAATAGGTGTTTGGGGATGGAAATAATACAATTTTAACAATCAAAACGTGTAATTGTCACTAACGTAACGCTCCACGAATTGTACGAAAATAATCAGTTCTTGGCACATAATTATTTTAATCGTATGCATTAAACGCTTTAATCACATAACAATGATGGATTTCCTACATTGTTACCATCAGACACCTGTATAGACGTATACAAGTACATAGACTGTATAAAAGATAATTATCAGCCGGCCGCAGGTAATGTTTTTGAGCAATTATCGACTAGTTTGGTTATGAAACGCAGCTATTACTAAAATCGATTTAATTTTCGGCGACGTGTGTTTACGTATTATGAGTATTTTTTCCGGGGAAGTTATTTATTATAATATTAATTATAAATTAATATTATATAATTAATCACGTCAAAATAATAAGATGTTTTTAAGTATATATATATTGTAACCATGTGGATACATATTTAAATTAAATGCGTATGCTTCTGATCTCTTATGAACGTCCGTTTTAATTTAGTATTAATATTATGTATGAAGTGGAAAACATAAGAATTATATTAAACAAAAATTATAAATTCATATAATGTGTTAATATTTAAAAATAAATTCAACATAATATTAAAATCGAATAACCATGGGCCCATTACCATCGGTTTATAATCGTTTATTCGAAATATTTATATATAATGTACTACAAGCACAAATTATAGATTTAATCTATGCTATCATATAAATTACTGATATAAAATAATAAAATTTAAATCAACATCGTATGTAATCAATTTATTTGTACATCTAAAATTATTCTAATTAACTATAACAACAGTTCCCAAACTTTTTTGAGTCATGCATACTCAAAAAAATAAAAAAATTAATCGCACCTCCTATAATTAAATAAGATAACCTTTTTTATTTTTTAAATATAAGTACATTATTGTTAATCTAAAAAAAAATATATATATAGTTGTGTAATATACAATGTAAATATTTTCCTCGCGTCTCTCAGTTTGAGGACCGCTGAACTATAATATATTATAGGATATTTGCTATTAATCATTACTAAAGTTTCATTAAAAATATCTGTTATCCATCAGACTTATGTAATGATAATTGGTAATTGTTTAGTAATAAACCTCGTACCTATTTCATTCTATAGTTCAACAAAATAATCAATATTATTCCAATATTCTTATACGCTTAAGTATACTATCATGTATCTAGTTGTTTTATTATACCACTAACTATAATTATAAATATTTTTCTTAATTTTCCGTTATTGATTTTAAATTCATATTATATTTAGGAATTTTAGAACAAATATATATCATACATAATTTTACATTATTTAAATTTCAATAAAGTGCAACTAATTTAATTACTTACATTTCGTTCCGAAACAGTCGGAGAGTAATTTTAGTGAATTTATGATTCAATATATTCAAATAATTATATAATCGAAAAACCAATAAATTAATAGAGCTTTCATTTTTTTCATAAAAACGTTGTTTTGTTTATGACAAGAGAACATTTTGATTTTAGGAAAAAAGTATTACCGACATAGCATTAGAGAATAAAATACGAATACAGACTTTTGTTATATAATATACAAAATATATTTTTATTTAATTTTTAAAACACCATAATAAAAAAATTCACATTTATATGAAACAATAATTTTCATATTGAAATAATTTCAACAGTTTATAAAATTTAAAGTGTTATACATAATCTTTCGTTTAATTGTATATACATTTTTTTCATCAGGAATTCAATCCGCTATTTTAAAATATTATAATGATTTCGTTTTGATAATTTATTAATATGACTATCGGCCACCTTGCACTTAAAATTATATAATATATTAATATATGATTATATGAATATATTTAAAGGTATGACGTATGTAGGTATAATAAATATATAATTTCAATGAAACGTGGTTAGGGACATCCATTTTTTCATTTTATTTTTTTTTATCTTTATCTCTACTAGTTTGAATTTAATTAAAAGTACTTACCAAAATATTTTTAATCTATAATATCACAATATAAAATGTATGTTTATGTTAAATACCCAGATTATAAAATTAACAAATATAAAGTTTATATTTTTAATCTTCTACAACAGCGGTTCTCAATCGAGTTTCTCAATTGAGACCCCGATCCCCTATAATATCAAGAGATTTTGAGTGACCCTTCTATTATAATAACATTACCAACATTAACATTAAAATTATGGTTAAAAGTAGCCATAAATTAATATGATTAATACAGCGTTTTTATTGGTAATCCTAAACTTTTATCAATTGTAGTTCTTAACAGTGATTTTTATGATGATAAATATTAGAACCTCTTACTAGCTATTTTATATATTGACCACCCCTCCCCCTCCATTTCGAGAATCGCTATTACTACAAGACTATTTATCAATGAAAATATTGACAATATTTCAATAAAATATTAGTAATATTTACTTTAAATTATCTTTAAAATATGTGTATATGATTACAAGCCGCTCCATAAACATATAAATTAATTTTTAAAGTTTTTAATTTTTATTAGTTTGAAATATTTGTCAGTATATTTAATTAAATAAGTTTAACTAATTAAACAAAAAAAAAAAAAAAATCAATAAATTGTTAAAAATTGTCATGAAAAGCGAAAAAATGTTAGTAATTAAGTTTATTTAAAAGTCTAAAATAATATGTAGATATTTATTTTATATTTTATCATTTTATTACTGTATAAGAGTTGAACAATTTCACATAAAGAGAAATTAAAATAAAATTAAATTCGAACCACAACTTTGTTTCTAAAAGTATACGTTACAAAGTTGAAAATAAGTATATTATATCAGTTGGATTCGAGATTAATGAAGACATAACGCGTTTATATTATATTTATTTATTTGCACATGTTAATGTTACAGAAAATAATGATAATTTTAATGTGCTGATAATTAAACTAATTAATAAAAATAAATAGATCAATAGATAGACGTTTATGCATGGGAATTATTAATGTTAGTAGTAAATGTTTGATTGAGTTGAATTTTAGTATTTGTTATTCTATATATTATGTAGGTATCTGTAATATAATTAAATTTCAATATAAGTATTTTGCATTTAAAATCATTCTATACCTATCATTAAATCGAACGCCTACATAAAACGCTATAAAATAAAAAATAAGTATCCGTTTACGTTAAAAAAAATACATTAAACACAATTTGTGTTGAGTCCAAAAAAAAAACAATTTTTTTAAATTGTTTTTCTATTTCCATTCCACAAAACCTTCGCATTACGCCTGTTTATTCTAAAGAAGACTTTTTTTAATTTTATATATTTTTTTAACTACTCAAAACATACATAATGTTTAATTTCTATAATGAATTCGGCGCCATTTATGTTTGAATAGATAATATATAATACATAATACCCTTCGTATAATATTATGTAATGAATGTTTACAGTATTTATATACAATTGTATCTTTTTTTTCCTGTTTTGAATCGACGATGCTACGGGTAGACTTTCGTATTACTTCCGTCGCACAAAAACGATTATATCTATAATAAATGGACAGTTTTTTTTTTTCGAGATTGCAATAATAAATACGTCATTCACAATTATTTTCAATAGCAATTTTTTATAACTATTATAACTTTAAACTAATTTCAGCAATATACACTAATATAGGAGAACAAAAATACTTAAATAACTCCATATGCTATATACCACTGTACCATGTTATGTTGTATTTTAGTTAGTGTAAAAAAATCTGTTATTCAATAGATATTTCCATACCATTTTTTTTTTTTTTTAAAGAGGAATAAGTTTCCCACGCATTGCAAAATTAAACGAGTATAATAAAATATTATTATTACTTGTATATTATACTCGATATAAATAAAGAAGGTAAACCATCAGATTTTGAAGTACTATGATTTTTTTTTTTCTTTATTTTTCATCAGTTACTAAATATTAGTAACTAAACATTATTCGTCCATCGTAAAACAAATATACACAACTATTTTTGCCTTATTTCTAATTGCATACCAATTTTGTCATTTTTGTATTTTTTTATTTTCAAAAACCATTGAATATATATTTGTCCTTTTTAATTTAGTTTTTCATTCATTTTGATTCCTTTAAAATTCATTTTCTGCAGTTTTTAGAAATTCAATATAGATGTATAACAATATATAAATATATAACGTTCAAAACACACTATACGTTGCATATTTTTTAAATTGTAAGAAACTGGAAGGCTACCTTAATTTTCCGACATAACAAGGTTATCGGTACGTCGTTGACATGCCTCAAAAATTAATAACCACAGGTCAAAAATTACAACAGTCCACGTAAATATATTACATAAAAAAATTCATGTACAGATTAATATATATGTATGGAATATTAAGATATATATGCGTGGAGTATGGTTCAGTTTATACGCTATTCAAAGGAAAAGGAAAATCGGTTTAATTGAGATCGCTGTATTAAAATATAATTTAATGTATTAGTCCAGAAGAAATTATATCTATAGGGAAATCCGAAATCGTAAGAACTCTAACCAAACCGAAATGTAGCTATATACACGTACGGTAATAATTAAATAATATAATAATTACTGGGGGGGGGACCCAAGGTCTTCAGACTTCAGAGGTCCAAACTGGTTACCCCCTCTTTCACTGCCATCAGTTGTCTGACCACCGATCACTCTGCGTTAAAAACTTTTATTAATCTATTGCAACCATTCGTAGCAGCACCGTAACTGGTAAGTTTGGATATTTATTTTTCCTATAGTTATTATTTGTTTTTACCGCATTATTATTATATTACATGTTAAATAATAAGATAAATTTAAATTCAATGTTTAAGTTTAATAAAATTGTGTGTATATGAAATGTAAGAAAAAGTTTAAAAATTTAAAAAAAAAAAACGTTTTTAAATAAGTATTTAATTCACGTTTACTGTGACATTTCAACTTTAACACCATAATAATAAATTAAAAAAGTGTTTCTGTCCTCGTGGTAACTATATATTTGTTAATCATAACATAAGTTAATTCCTTAATATTATTAAAAATATATACAAATTTCTAACTAATACGTTAGGTAACAGTTCTTTGTTTCGGTGTGATAATATTTTATAAAATACCTGTTACAGGATTTTATCATTTTTAATTAAATTTATTGCAGTTACTTACATAATCGATAACTTTTATTAGTGTACACCTAAAATAATTTATATTACATAATTTTTCATATATTAGAAAAAACAATTTAGCACTACTAAATAGTTTAGGGTATATGGTATTTAATATAGTAGTTATGAAAAAAATTATTACTTTATTTTGTTAAGTAATCTAAAACGAGTGTCTGGAAATTAAAATGAAAGTATAGAAATTTATTACATTGTCACACATATAGTCGTACACGTGATGCGATTAACAATTAGATGCAACAAATAGTAACAAATATCTTTCGAATTTTATAATTGTATACATTTATAACTGTGACATACTCTCAATAATTTACGAGAGATTCTCAAATGGGATGAAACATGCTACTTGTTGTGAAATGTATAAATTTTAATAAAACTAGATGACAAAAGACGCTATAGTTACAAAATCGAAACAACTATTAAAAACCTGTATCACACTTTGTGGTCTTTTTTACGTCAATATATCAAGATATATCATTATTTAAATAAATAAATATGGTAAATTTTTTTCAACTAACCATTGATATTACAAAAACATAATTTTAGAATTATACATGTATTCAACCCAAACGAATATTTACGTAATATTCAATGTATTCTGAAAACAACCGACATACCTAACCTAACTACTATAATAACAATAATAATTATATTTTCAAATTTATATAAATAAAAACGTACCGAAACTCAGTTGTACAGATTAATTATAACTTATACTATATAATATGGAAAATATATAAACTATATTAACCTATATAATCAAATTATTCGCCAATAAATATAATAACGTGTACAATGCGGGTATTTATCGACATCAATTAACTAAAATAAGATGATCAGAATCGACGAACCTTGGACGGTTTAACAATTTTTAACGAACTGTACTGCAATGCGTAATGACGATTAATATTAACCGTCAATGTACTAGTACGCTATTATTATATAAAAAAAAAATACGTAATTACCTAATATAGCTGATTTCAAAATGATAAATCAGAGTGATAATTCTATAAAAGTTTAAATTTTAATTATTAATGATTTAAGTTTAATTAAAACGTGATATCGTATTCTCTAGTAATGGACTTTCGTTTACAAAATATTTTAAACAGGTAATTTAATTATAGAGAAACAGCGATTAGTGGTCAAATATCACGACGTCTAAACGCTTATAAAAATATTGAAAAATAATCCAACGTTAGGAAAGTATTCAAAAATTCGATGTCTTATCAAATGTTTGCAAAATGATTCACCGATTAGAAGATGTCTGGATATGATTTATCATAAACTATAATTATTTTAATAGTATTTTAAACAACCAATCAAAATAACTTAAAATTTAGAATTTAAACTGTTAAATTCATTATTTCTCCTCATTCATAATTATATATATATATGTATATACGTAAGTCTACATTCAAATAATAATATGTAGCATTAAACGTTATGGTGTAGAAAACAAAAATTATTCCAGTGGATTTAATTTGTTGCCCAATAAGTATTACATGAGGTATTAGTGAACGTAACGCCGTCCTTCAATGAAAAAAAAATGGAGTAGATATTTATATTGTTGTTTTAGTGCTATTTAATATCGTAAAACTGTATAATAATAGTAATAGATATATCAATGTGGTATCAATAATTTGTTTATCATTTTTTAATCGTCATACGCACAGTCATGTACAGTAACGTGTGAAGATTTAAATTTAATGCCACCCGGGACAACAGAAAAATTCCTCTTTATAAAAATATGTTCATTTAAATAATTGCAATATTTTCACAAATTGTTATTTTCATGGTTGATTCTAATTACTGGAAACCCGTCACCAGTATCAATGCTGCTGTTACTCTCTATTATAGCCTTCTTTACTGATTTAAAATAAACAAAAAAAAAAAAAAAAATGGAAACGCCTTAAAATCAATATATATGTGTGTAAGTTAAACAAAGGTTTCTTCATATAATAAGTGTTTAGATATACCTATATTATATATTTAAAATCAAAAACGTTTTCGAGTCAAACAAAAGTTTTTGAAATAAAAATATTCCACTTTTTTAACCTAATAATTTAAATTCCATAAAAATAATAAATAAAACACTACTTTTTACAGAAAAATTTAATATACAAAAATATTAAACAACATGGTCAACATTTTTTTTTATTTTTTTTGGTTAATTAGTCGAATAAACAAAGAATTCAGTTCAATATTAGTGATTAACACTGAAGCCACACAGAAAACTATGCTATGTATAATATGTACGCTTTGTACACTATGTTCGGTATACGGTGAGGCCACACACAACACGCTAAGTATACTACACAGGATATTTACTACTAGTCTGTAGTGAGTAGTCACACTGAACAGTTATGTTTAAGGTGTTGACGTTTGTCACGTATGTTCTGGTTTCGATATTCGTCCAGATTTTTCTTCCAGAGACAAGGGTATCTGCGTACTTCCTCTATTAGCTGCTCTAGTAACGTCATTTCGAAGAATGACGTAGCACTTAAAAAATTTAATAAAATATAAATATTTTTCAAAAAACCTTAAACTTTAAAACCGAGTTTTATTTATAAGTTATAACAGCCGAGATGGCGTGAATGCGTGAAAAAATAATCGATTGCCCGTAGCTTGAGAATATCATATCATAGGACACGCTGTGTTCGATTGCCGATATCGGCACGATCAATATAAATAAACATGTCTGTCGAAACACCTGCAAACGCGTTCGCGACACATCGCTCAAAAATATAGCCACAAACCAAACACTCGGAGATGCGTCGCAAAGTAACTAAGAACCTACCGTACCTACGCTATTCTGTGTGGCCGTTCACGTCGTCAATATGGAAAACAATTTTTTATTCGTATAGCGAACATCGCGAACATAGCACGCGTAGCGTTCAGTGTGGCCTTACATAGACTCAGTTTGATTGACGAAAATTCCGGACTGCTTGATTTTTTTCTCTCTCAATTTTGAGTTTTCGAAATGCATAACTGCAATGCGTATTAAAATAACGCGTGTGTTTACTAAACTATAAATTACGTTTTATCTGCGGTCAAAAGAACACGGTTAGTTGTAACCTGTTTAATGCATAATAACGTAGCTCTTACCCGATGTTATGTGACACGATGTTAACTCGACAGAAAACGTGTAGAATCCGGTCATCGCCGTACCGGCAATGGTAATTTATTCACATGAATTAAAACAAACAAATCATCGTATGTACGGACCGGCACATTGAGAAATTTCGAAATTTCACATAGAACCAACACCTAGTACCTTCCGACAAGACGTAGGAAAAAAATATTTATAAAAACAAAGAGAGAGAAAAACGTAAAAAAATAAAATGTAAAAACAAAAATGTGAAATAGCACCGTGGTACAAATTTTCCGCATACTACTCCGATTGGCGCCACGCATTGTTTTTTACGAACGCAGTTCGAATTCCCGGAAAATGCGAAAACAATGAAAGTAGTACGCAGGCTCAGGACTTCGTACAGGAAACGGCCGAGGCCTTGGGATCTAATTTTGACAACGTGTACTTCACCATGGTTTTATTTTATTTTTTCTCGAAAATTTGTCCTCGCGTGAAAATCATCCTCTTATAAATTAATTAAAACTGAATCAATGTAATTTTAAAAATGACTTAAAATATAGTGTTTTCGTTATGTATCTAACACATAGACAAATGTCACAAGGACAAACATGTATGAAATTACATTTTTAACGATGCAATAGAACAATATTATTATTGTGTAAATGATCCATGAAAGGAAACATAAAATGCTTTTGTTTTTTAAACTATCAGACTCGGAACGTTTTCGGTTCGATAATCGTTTAGGCTAAAATATGTCCGTGAACTTACATGCAAAAACTTATGTTTTGTTCAATCGGGATTTCCTTCGCCGCTGCACAGTAGAGACTTTAACGCATCGTCATGTTTTTCAGATTTCACGATGGCAAGAGCAACGATAGCGATACTGCTTCTGGGTTGCTGCACGTGCGCCGTGTGGTCGGTAAACGATCGGCTGCGGGAGGTGTTCAGCTGGCGGCAGCTAGACTTTGTGTTCCCGGACCAGAAGACCAGGCAGGCTGCGATCGCCAGTGGCGAGTACGTGCAAGCCAACAATTTGCCACTAGGTCTGGAGGTGTGGAGGGACAAGCTGTTCATCACGGTACCTCGATGGAAGGCCGGAGTAGCGTCCACGCTTAACTACGTATCGCTCGGCTCGGGTAATTACAATATTTTGTATTATGTAACATTAATAGTACCCACCGTTTTCTAATATGTACTCGGTAGCTGTTATTTTTATAATTGTTTCAATCATTATTATTATTATTATTATTATTATTGTTATTCACAACAGACTTTAATGACTTTCACTTCCGTTTATCGTAAACTTTAGTAAACTTACATTTGGAACCATAAAAGCATTTGAACACATGCAGGTGTCCCAGGTATTATCACGGTTTTTTTTTTCGTCCTATGATTATGGATTATTTTTGTAAAATACATTTTCACGGGCTTTATTGGTCACAAAATCGTTTTTCTAAAGCATTAATGTTACTGATTTAAATAATTCACATCCATTTTCTAGATATTAATACTTACATTTGTGATGATTTGACATAACAGCGCTGTATAAATTGCATTTGGCAAAAACAGTTTCTAAATCGCATGTCGTGTCAGTCGGATTTGTCCGATTTGCCTGCTATTTCCATCGCGAAAAACCATTCTAAAGGTCCACGATTATTATTTTGTTTTAAAATTAGATGTCCAATAATTAACATATTCGATGGACTGAAGATCTTTAATAAATATTAAATCAGTTTCGTGTAAACTTTTGAAGTTACGATACACGAACAAATTCGGTGTGTAGCATATTCGTATATTTACAATAATCATTTGAATCGCTCGATAGATTAACCAACACAAATAATACATCGAATAAAATTATCAAAAGTTTTTTATAATTCATAGATATGAATATGATTTCAAAAAAAAAATATAAAAATGTACTTTAAATTAAATGTTATCAATCAGTCTTAATATACATTACGTACCTATACGAACCTATTGTTTTTATGTAAGATATACCATTCGAATAATAGGATTAATTTGAAAAAATTGCTTTTTGGTTCTCACGATTTGAAAGCATAAAGTGACAAGTTAGTGTTATATAATATTGTAATGATAAAAAAAAAAAAACAATTATATCAACAGTAATAATAATAATAATAATAATAATAATAATAATAATAATAATAATAATATTAGTGACGAGTAGCATAATGTCAGGTTTGATGGCATCGGTTGACCGTGATGGTAATCAGACGATGCCTGACACCGACCCAAATGGTTCTAGAACCGTGACGCTACGTGCGCGTTTACCAAACTCGCATCCCGTACCTCTCCATCAGTAACGAACAGTACTGACCACCATGCACTATTAATTGAAAACAGACCAGATGGATTTAAATCTTTTCTGCGATATTTTATCGATTTATAATTCATTTTTGACTTCTCAACATATTTTCGGATATAATATCTTGCGCAGTTTCCATGTTTTCGTGATGAAAATCGCATTGAAATTATTACCAACGATATTTCCACGAAAATTATTTTAAAACGTTCAGGTGCATCTTGACTCGCACATCCTTCCGTGGCCGGCTCTGGATCGGCAAGCGCGTATCCTGTGCTAAATACTTGGCAGTTTTTTTTTGTTAACCATATAAATAAATAAAATGTGACCACTTCCCTCCCCGCCTCCCCATCATTATATGATTATACGTAATTAAGCATGCCTTTGCGATACGCCATTTGTATATACTACGCTTATGTACAGCAGCATTGTGTTTTATTTAAATAAATCGGTGGAGGTCGGCTAAACGTGTTTATTTATTTATTTATTTATTATTATTATTATTATTATTATGTTAATATTATCAACACCACAAGGCCAGTCGGGCGATATGATCGATCAATAATTCTTTTTGCGGTAGATCGTGAAAATCTATCGCGGGCTCGAAAATAAATGACACGGAATTATCGCTTTTCAATGTCCGTTAGGAGTTAGATGTTAGATCGGTTAGGAGCCGATGAGACCGCGTTGTAAAACGACACTATATGGTATTAATACATAATTATCGGTTATGTATCTTACAGTGAATGATTCGTAAAGTATTATAACGATTTGATAAAAAAAATACGCATCGGCGAAGAATTTCGATTCGTGAAATAATGATGAAAATAGAAAAACTATTTACAAAACCTGAACCATTTATTATTTCTGTAGGAATATCGATATTCGTCATTAAAATGCGGCAAAGAGTTGCAAAACGTCGTTGTATAACTGTTGATATACATACGTGCACACGGCGATTCGTGTACACGCGTAAAACAACGTAAATAAATGATCATTATTATCGGACATTGACGTTGTCGAAATAATACTTGTAATCAGCATTCGTATGAAGGAGAAAACGATACGTAGCTGTCTTAGCCATGTGGTAATAATACTACACCTACATTCAATCAATTTCGGCACGACAATGAACTCCACGAATTTTTTTCCTATTATTTTTTTTTTTTTTTACATTTATCATCGATCCGCGATCTCCGAAATAAGTAAAACACGAACATAATACACAACGATAAGTTCAATTCGTGTACGGAAATTCGTATTACGACAATCGATTGTTATTGGTTTCCGAACCGTCTATTTTTTACATCTGTGTGTATTACACTTAACTGTTATTATCAGTTACGGAGTGTCGAACAATCGTATACATGTTAAGTACACACTTTTATATGTTATATGTATATATGTATATTTATTATTTATTTTATTTTTATTGCTATTGCTTTTTTTGTAGTTAGTTTTTGGTGATGGTGTTTGCATTAATTATTTTTTTGTGTGCGTGTTTTAAAAGTATTTTTATATTCTAAATTGTATTAAATAACAAAATTAATAGTTTCGTTTGATTATACAATCATTGTGATAAACGGAAAAATTCAATGCGTTTTTCTACAACTCTTGATGTTTAAAAATCAACCTACGTCCATTATTTTACATAAAATTAAAAAAAAAGTCTATAAAAAATATAAAAAAATAGACATCCCTAACATTCGATAATGTAAAGTTATAAAAATTCACTATATGAATTTAGTACATCTTTAATCACTCATCGACCAATGTGAAGTATACATTAACTAATTACTACACGTTGAGATTATGTCTGTATTAATTAGTTATTTATCAATTTTTTTCCATTGTTAACTATACAGATATCTTAGACGTCATATTATGTTCTTAACCATCAAAAATTCACTGTATTATGTACCTACTGTTATACAATTTACATTTGTTTGGATTAAGTTCAGTGAAAATCACCAGAATTCTGTTGTACAACACTGGACGTACGCTGACACGCGGTAAATAAATAACTTGACACGAACGATAACGACGGACTGCCACTTTGAACCTTATTTTACTTTTATTTACTACGGTGTCCACAATTGGTACCATCGTTAATAAACCAAAGGGAAACTAATCGATAGTACATGTTTCTCGCAGTTACTATAAAAACGTAACAGACCACGGTAACGAACTGCGATTGTTATTTTCAGAAATGTACGATGTATACAATACAGATACGTTTTCTAGTTTTTCAGAAGATTTTAACCGTTTCCGATCTAATCATTTTATATGCACAGTAATAAGGTACCCCCCGCAGAAGCTGCATATTTTAATGCCCGAATGAAAGAATAAAAATACACGTTAATGTTATAATGCACGGTTGTAGTATTAACTAATCCTGCATGATATGTATACATTAGTATTATTGTCCGCGCTGTCTCTTGAACAATGAACAATAAACCGATCGTAATCGCCATTACACATACTGCCCGCAAGTACAATAAGTCGGTCAAGTTTGGGTCTACAAATGATTATTCTTCTTTTCAACGCTAACGTGTATTCACAGTATCGATGTAAATACTATACACTCAACGTTCAGTGGTGGCTCTAATAATTCCGGAGGTTATGTCCTTCGAAACATTTCTATAACAGAGTACGCCAATAATATACGTCATCGACATCAGTCTTCGATAATAACTACTCAGGACGCGAAAAATCCGATATTCTCTTACGACGATATATCTATTGGTAACTGAAACGCTGAACGCCTGCGACTATGAAACAATGAACGAGTTACGAGTTTCACTATCGTCTATTATTCGCTGACCATTGTTAACAATAAATCCCGTAAAAATATTCCTCGACGAATTATAAAGATATCCTGATTATACTAAAACAGGTTCACACGTATGGAAGACGTATACATTTGCTATAATACTTATAATACTTAAGACTTGAAAAAACACGCAAACGTTTCAATCGAACACAGCATAATATTATACCTATATACCATTACCGAAACTTTTTTTTCCCAAACGTGATCAAACGTATTTTGATGATGATCTAAAAGGATCTTCCATTCCGCAAGTGAAGTGTGACAAGTGACTGCTAAAACGAAATTTGATTTTCTAAGTTCGACATTTATTCGATAACCCACAATTTATAGTAAGTTGGTAATGGAAAATATACTTCGATTAGATGGAACCAGCAATGGTGTAGGTATCATAAAAAATAATGATCGAGTTAAAAATCAAGACTGCAAATGTATTATATATAATTACGAAGCAACTACAATTACGACGATTGTAAATCAGGTATTTCGAAAAGGAAACGGTTAGAACATGCTACATAGAACATATATTTGTTTATTATTGCATGATTTAAGCAAATTTAGTTAAACATAGAATAAAATTATGATAATAATGCATGGTGATAATTGAACGCATTTATGCAGCTTGGTGAAGATATTATAAATTAGCATCGTATAAATATATTGTAATATTTGTAAAAATATTTAATTAGACATATTATTTACTATTATCTTATGGATAAGGACAACGTAATAAGAAATGATTTCAGATGTATAAAAATACTTTAATAATATTACAGTATTACATAATAGCTTAATATTATCAATTCAGCACTGGAGGTAAAATTTGTGCATTAAAATTTTAAAATAATAACTGTATCTTTTATAAAATCATACTTTATAGTTAAAGTATAGAATATAAAAACTTATCTTAATTCATATAAATACGTTTTACCCTCTCATACTGATTTGTTTACTTATTTTTTGTATTTTATTTGATTTAC